AAAAGAGCTATAAAGGGACAGTAACCTGAATGATAGCAACTGCAATGTTCAGCACAGGTTCCTTTATTTTTTTTGTAAAAGTTTCAGAAATCTGAGTATTGTTACAAGACACAGAGGATGACCTCACCCCTGTATATAAGTGCCTGCTGAATTAGTCAGACAAACCTGCTGTAAGCGGTTTTCAAACGGAAAATAAGTTTTATAGCGAGTCTGACAGACCAGTCTGTGGCAGTGCGCGTGTGTGGGTATGTGTGTGTGTGCATGCGTGCATGCATGTGTGTGTGTGTTTTAAATTGAGGTCAGTGTCCTTGATCCAAAACTGCAATGGATGATTTCTAGAAGGACAATTGATCTGTGTGAGTACATAGACAACAACTGGAAATTCTGTTACAGTATAATTCTCCATGGATGGGGTGTGAGATCTGGTGTGCTACCGAAGAGGGGGTTTCATTTGACATGAACCAGCGAAACTTTAGTCAATTGTATATAAATATTTAACTTACTCTCATCCAAAATTACAGCCACAACACTGTTAATAAGTACATGGAAACACCCAGCTATTCATGCAGTGACTAATCGCATCCGCACAGCTTGAATTTAAACAGTATGTAAGGGTCTTTTTAATGAAATGCAAAAATCAAAGGAAAATGCAATCCACATCCATTTCATTCCAAACCAGCAAAGCTTTCCAGTTAGCTCTTTAGTCTGCTTGAAGAGGGTCCAGGACCTCTGATCCTAGTCTGAATTTGCTCAAAGTCTGAGTCTTTCTGATTTGGGATTTTGTACTTATCTGTGTAAAGGATTACTCCCTTGGAAAACTGGGCCACTCCACCTTCTCTTTCCAGTGTCTTTCTTCTTGTTCCAAAACTTTAAAGTTGAGTGACATCAGTCTTCTGGAATGACAATGGCCAGTTTAACGGTCTGGGTTCAAAATAGGTTCAGGTTAAGAAGTGAAAGGATTTTGATGTTAGTTTCCAGACCTGAGTTTAAAAGAAATATAGAGATGGTAGAAGTCAATGTCTGATTCAAAAGGCCATGTAAAACACTTACCAAGCTGTCACTTTGCTGCTGATTTTGGACCTTGGAAAGAGCACGGGAAAGGGTGGGGGAAGGGTTGTGGGGGTGGGGCATGTAACATAATGCAGTTATAACCTTTGTATCAAATAAAGGCAATCAGGACTGGTAGTAGAGTTGATATCTTTTATTAGACCAACAAGATTTTTGCAAAAAAAATTCTTTAATTGCAAACTTTTGGGCACAAACATCCTTCATCAGGCATTGGAGAAAGGATTGTCAAATTTCTTCTGGGTAGAAATGAAAGTTCATATTTCATAGGATTTCACAGAGGAGTCAATAGACGGAAAACTCTGGGCAGTCAGTACATAGCTGGTATGGAGCCTCTCACCGCCTGTGAGGATCTGTGATGATGGAAATTACCTTGAAACAAAGGTAGGAGTAGGATCTCAGGTTTCAGCTGGTCACAACTGCTTCCTGCTTGGGAAAATATGGAGATAGTATCAAATAATATTTTTAGGAGTATTTTCAACCCTCACAAAAACTGTGTGCGCAACTTATTGCATACCTGCATCCAGCTGGATTTCATGGTTTTAGTTATGCTGTTTCCTAAATATAATAATTCAAGTGAGGCTAAGACACCTAGTGGGTTGTTTGTCCCCAGAAAAAATATTTCCCACCCACTTTCAGATATGGGATACTTGTTAGCAACAGAGATACTAACATGCATTTGAACACTTTTACTGTCTAGCAGCAGAAGGCAACCATCGATCCTTCTGTATCATGGTACATGTGTGAGAGGTCACCAGGACCTTTAACACGTATGACTAGGCAGGAGTATGGAGGAGTGGAGGCTGCCCAGACCTTCCATCTCCACTTTAGACCATAGACAGTATGCAAAAGCCAGACCCAGTTCAGACATTCGGTGCCTTGATGGCTGTCATCATATGTGTGTTCTGCAATCAAAGCCAGGTCTGCCACGTGACAGACAAGGATTCAAACACTGAACAACAACGGTGGGTTTGAGCAGCAGTAACTTGTACTCTCATACAAGATAGCATTATTAGAGTTATTATTCAGTTATAAAAACTGAGTGAGTTTAAGGGAGTTTATTTCAGCGCTCAGTTTAGAACTTTATTGTCAGTCAGATACCTCGCACGAGGACACTCTCTTCTGTTAGTAAGACGGGTTTTGCTGGTGCAGAACACAGAGCAAACATTTTAAAATCAGGAGTATGAGAATAGAGGCAGGTAGTGCAGGTGTCTCACAACACATTAGAGAAAAGGGCTTTATACAAAAGTAGTTCAGACCTTTCACAAATTAAACCTACTCCATGGTGGATTTCTATACATTGGACAACTATAATGTGGTATAACACGGGGTATAAGGTAGCAATCTGGATACAAAGCCCTAGCCTTTTAATTGTGTATAAGCAACGGAGATGACTATGGCAGAAGCAGTTTCTGTGAACACCTGACTCACCACTTGCAGCACACACATCCCTGGACTCAGAAATGTGTTGCAATCAAATGCTGTTCCTTTGAAATTGTTTAGCATTTTACCAGTGATTTAAATGGGAGCATGTGCAGAACGTGATGTGTCATATACACACGATTTGTTTGGAAATTCCCAAATAGTCTTTCTATTAGTCTGGCTTGACTTTAAGTTATCCACATGCAATCACTCTTTTTATTTTCTACAATGAGATTTTACTATTGCACTGCTTTTCTTAGGACTTCTGAAAACTACTGATCCCTGGGTCCTTTTGCAAATTGCCTCTGTATTCACTTTTATGTTGAGTAGGAAACTGCACAAAGCGGAGTCCTGCTGGCAGGTAAAGTGTGGAGGAATAGGAACCGTGGCTCCAGGCTTCAAGTTTCAGCTACATCATTCTTTCACTGGGGAGTGAGGGGTTTTCCTGATTTTGATGTCCTCTGTTCCTGGTAGTAGCTACTGACTTTGTGAGAAGCCCTTGATTAGTGTCACAAGCCACCCAGCTCCAGTAGCGAAAGGCAGCTAGTTACATTAGTCTGAAGTCAGGCAGAAGGCAAGGCAAGGTGTTGTATGTTAAAGTATTGTTTTACATTACTCCAGAGGTGGCTTCACCAGTGCTGAATAGAGGGGAATAATTGCTTCCCTTGACTTACTGGCAACACACCTACCAGTGCAGTCCAGTATGCTGTTAGCCTTCTTGATAACAAGGGCACACTGCTGGCTCATACTCAGCTTACTGTCCACTGTACCCCCAGGTCCTTTTCCACAGAGCTGCTGCCTACCCAGTCAGACCCCAGCCTGTCCCAGTGCATGAGGTTGCTCCATCTTAAGTGCAGGATTTTGCACTTGTCCCTGTTGAACCTCATGAGATTTCTTTTGGCCCAATCCTCCAATTTGTCTAGGTCACTCTGAATCCTAGCCCTACCTTTCAGCGTATCTACTACTCCCCGCAGCTTGGGGTCACCTGCAAACTTGCTGAGGGTGCACTCCATTCCATCTTTTAGGTCGCCGATGAAGCAGCAGTGCATTCAAACAGTAGTGTTAAGTACGATCATATGGTAGCAAAGTTAAGATTTTTTGCTGGAGGAGTATCTCTAGATCCAATTAAATAATGGAGTGTCTCTAGATCCAGTTAAATAATGCGTTCATCTATCATCCCACCACTCCAGGGGGTTAATAGGAGCCCAGCTCATTGATCCCAGCCCAGCACAACACAGTCTTGAACCAGCTCTTGTGCAGTGCCAGGACTGGGGCTGACAATCAGCAACCTACACACAAGACACCATGTTAGGCCCTTGTCCCATATTACATGTAGCAGTAAAACAGCAGTACATGTTACATGAAGCGCACGTTAACTGCATCTCAAACGGCAATAAAACACATGCTCAGTGCCATTATAGCACAGCAATTAAGGACTCTTCCAGCCAGCAGTATCTCCAGATCGTATTACTTAACCTGTGTTAAGCTAACATTGCCCTGCTCCATTGAGATAAACAGTCAGGAGACTGGTGCAGTGCAAGGAAGGACCAACAAACAACTGTGTGTCAGTCCCAGCCCCCACAGCACGTGCATCTTCAAGAGCTCTGGTGCTTAGGGCAGGTTTTATTTAGCTCAGCAGGGCTTCACCTCTTGGTCCCTCTGGAGTAGTGCCCGGCTGCATTGGGCGCTGGGCACCACGCCCAGGCCCCGAGATGCCTCTGCCCTGCCCCACACACCCAGATCAGGGCCCCACGCTGCCCCCACACATGGGGATTGGGCGCTGCACCCCAGAATCAGTCCCCTGCATGCTGGATCAGGCCCTGCGCACCGAATGTAGTGCACGGGGTCACCCGATGTGCTCCACGGGGCTCTTCGAGGGCCCCCAGGGCAGCAGCCACCACTTCCCAACTTTCGTCTTGAGGGGAGCCACGACACCAGGGCCTGCGGGCCTCGAGCCCCAGCGGGACGTGGCTGCCCCAAAACTCCCAGCCGAGCCCCAGAGGCTGTGGCTGAAACCTGTGCCAAGGCCCTGGGAGGTGGCAGCCCCCACAGGCCCCGGGGCCTGCCACTGACACCTGGCAACGAACGGGCTCGTACAGCGTGCGCTACACCTAACGGCTGCCGGGGCCCCAAGGGGGCGTCGCACAACACGCTTTAAGTGTAACGGGCCCCGAGGGGGCTCCACACAACTCACTTTAAGAGTAACGGGCCCCAAAGGGGCTCCACCCAATGTACTTTAAGGGTAACGGGGCCCAAGGGGAGGGCCACCCAACGCACTTTAAGTGTAATGGGGCCCACACAACACGCTTTAAGTGTAACGGGCCCCGAGGGGAGGGTCCACATAATGCGCTTTAAGTGTAACGGGACCCAAGGTGGGACCAAACAATGCGCTTTAAGTGTAACAGGGCCCAAAGGGGGTCCAGACATCACGCTTTAAACATAAGGGCTGCCGGGGCGCGCTCAGCCCTTGGGGGCGGGGCCGGGGGCGGGGCGGGGAGGAGGGTATAAAGAGGCGCCTGTGGAAGCTGCTGGACGCCTCCTTTAAACATAAAAAGTAATACTAAAATAAAGACGCCGTGCGGGTGGATGCAGGGGTTGCTCGGTGCTGCTGGCGGGATGCGGGCGGGCAGCGGCGGCGGTGCTGGTGCTGGGCGGGGTGTTTGTGTCCGGACTGCACCGAGTGTTGTTTTTGGGATTGCCTCTTGCACCGCGGCATCCCACGCTGCTGGTCTCGTTTCCACCCAAGTCTGTTTCCACCAGCAGGATGCCTGTGGATTTTGCAGTTCTTGCTTTGACAGGTTGTGCGTCAGACTTCTTTTCCCTCTTGTTTTTGAGCTACTACCTTTCGGTGGTCGTAATTTATTAATGCTTTTTTTATTTCAGCCTTCCAGTTGTAGTTCTCGTTCTCTCTCTCTCTCTCTCTCTTTTCTTTTGTTTTTTTTTTTTCAGCTGGATACTGACCACACGCAGATAGTTCCTTTTTAAAATTGGATGCCTTCTACTTTTGCAAGCCCTTTAACTGCCTGCTTCCTGTTTGACCTAAGTGTAGCTGAAAAACTGGCTTCTCTTCCAGCTGGTTTCCAGCAGGGAGATGTCTGTTGCCGCTGCGTTAACTGTTTGTTTAACAATTAGTAGGGAGGTGGCTGTAGGCAGTATTGCAGCATGAATCCTTGCACTCTGCTTGTGCTCGGCGACAACTCTTCCCCGTTGCTGAGATCCTCCTCCTTATTTTATCTACATTTCCCCTCCCTCCATTTATTTCCAGGAGCGACAACTAGGGCAGCAGCTTAAATCCATAATGACCAGATGACGATGGGAAGATGCTCATCCCTCAATTCTGGAGATCAGAAAAGTGTTTCATGTCTAGTTAACTCACTTGGACACTTGATAACAACCAAGTGCCAGGCAACTACAATTTCAGGACCAGCTTTTTTTGTAGAATAATTATAAAGGGGGCCTCCCTTTAAAGCTCCTGATCTACGGTGCAATAGCAAACAAGTGGACACACCTACTGGCAAGAAATGCAAAATCAGTAGGAAGGGTGGCTTGATCTTTCTGGTAATCATGTGCTGCATTTCTCTTAGGATAAGTTTATACTTCATGAGAAACTTGTCATGGATATAAAATTATTTGTATCATGTTGCTGTAGTTGTAGGGTATTAACTTGCTTTTTTTAAATAAAATTTTAGAAGTACTGTGTCTCACTTATAGAGTTAAGCATGATAGCTCATGTGCTTTTTCTCTGAAATAAGGATATAAACTAGTTCTGCAATAACCCTTAACACTTCAAAGAAGCATTAGTCAAAACTTATTTGCTTTCCTGTCCAGTAAAGTTACATTCTTTCACTTAAAGAAGTTAACCCTGTTCTTGAAATTTTTAGAAGTTCTTTATTGGCCAACTCCTTAGAATTAAATGACCAAAATCACTTCTCTAAACTAAATCTGGAAGAGAAGGGTGAAAGGCCTTGCATTTTCAGGCTAACATTTAACAAACAGAATGGAAAGCCTTCTTTGAGAGCATAGCAAATTTTGAGGCATAAAGGTTGTAGCTGTGTTGGTCTAAGAAAACAAGCAATTGGTGTGCTAGAGGTATTATCTTTTATTAGACCAAGTTGACAGTTCCAAAAAAAATTCTTAATTTTTTTGCAACTGTCTAGTCGGTCTAATAAAAGATGATTTCAACTAGCAAATTTGAGTGCTTTTGACTACCCACTTTGAGGAAACACAAAGGCCAAAGGATCCTTGCCTACGCTTGAATTCCTTTGCCACATAAAAAGGCTGTTAGCTGTGTTAATCTCTAAGGTGTTGCCCTGTCTTGCCATCTGCCCGATTTCAGACAATATCTCATTCAGAAAAATAAGGTTTTTTTTTTTTTTAAGGAACAGCCTACTTCATCAGATGCTATGATGTCTTCTTCCATAAGAAACGAGATTGTGCTGACGTTTTGCTTTCTACATGTTTTTCCTTTCTTCGGTTGCATTCAAACACCATATAGTAGTGTTTAAATATTGCACTAACCCTCACCTAACTGATCAAGCTTCACGCCTGCTAAAAGAGTACTGGGTAGCAGTGATAGTTGCTGTGCTCTAGCCACAAAAGAGGAAAACCAGGCTTGGCTAGTTGCACAGTTACTTACCAGATGGAGCTGAATGGTGGGAATTGTGATTCCTATTTTTCAGCAGTCTTGAAGAGCATGATTCTGCTGCCAGAATAGGCGACGGAGATTGGATTCCAGAAACGCAGCTTGTTCTTTTAATCAAGACCAATGTCCAAAGCTTTTATGGTGGTGTAGGTGCTATAGCTGTTTTAAAAAAAAAAAAAAATTACTCTGACAAAGCTCATCAGCTGTGTCTTTCCATGCATCCCTGCAGGCACTCACATGTTTACTTCTCAGCTCTAGGCTTCGCCGCTCTCTGTCCTGTGTCACTTGGGCGGTTCCTTCGCAGTCGAAGAGTGCACTATATCTGATTTCTAAAGAAGAAGCAGCTTGGCAGAAGTTAGGGACTTTCTACCAAGCCCTCCTCATGGAAGAGGGAAGGGAGTATTGCACGGCCCAGCAAGTGGCAAGAACTATCTATCGCCTGTTTCTCCGCTCTTTATGGCAGAAGCTGTTTCTTCCATGTTGCAAAATGTCTGGCTTGTAACTAATTTCAAAGTCTAGGCCTAGTTCATAGCTCCTGAGTAGGGATGACCCCTTTTCTGACAAGCTGTCATCCCTGGCTTCTAATTAAGGCTTCAATTCTCCTACTGGCATCCATTTGAGAAATATCCTATACCTGGAATAGGTACAGAAGGAGGGCTGCGAGGATCATTAGGAAGAGAGAGCCAGTTTAGGAGAAAAAAACAGTGAAGCTGTTTGAGTCTCTAAGATGGAGCTTTTAGCAGTTGCCTGAAATGGTTGTAGTACCATGGACTCCATGGCCCAGGAAGCCTTTGCTCTGGCTTCTAAGAGATGTCAAACTTCAAGATTTGCAGGCACTTGTTGCTCCAGGAAAGGGAAAAGAAGGTGTGGTTTAGAGGCAGGTCCCTTCCTCCACCTTCTTGCTTGCTAGTGTTTGTGTGCACACTCGCATGCTCGCTCTGTCTGTCTCTTCCTCTTACCCGAAGAAATGCTTCAGTGCCAGCTGCTGCCAGTAGTAGCAGACAGACAGTGACTTGATTCACAGTCGCTGGGAGGGTTTGAATAGCAGCTCTGAGCCGCAGTGGTGTCTCGTCAGTCCCACTGCTGCTGTGCAGGGAAGCAGGCTCGGGAGGATGGTACTATTCATAGCTGGAAAGTTCCCTCTAGTTGCAAGCACTTTCAGCCTTTTTTACACAAGTAGTTTTGCAGAAACTGAAGTCATGGAGATCTCTACCAGAGTTACCTTGGGTCACCCGTGCCCCTCTGACTAGAAGCTTTTGAAGACAGTACATGCTAACCAAATCATTTAAACTACAAAAGCCTAAAGTATTCTCTTCACGTGCCTGTAATGTGCCTGTCTAGGTGGTGTTTTGAATGGTGGTAGCAGAAACAGCCCTGACCTGGAATCTTGGCAGGTTTTCCAGTTCTCTGCAAACTTGAAACACCCTGACAGACCATCATTCTTCTTTGGGTGTGGGATGAAGGAAGGAATGTCCATAAAATACATTTATTTTTCTTTGCAAGCCAGAACTTTATTTTTCTGAAATCTGTCAGTGGATGTCAGTGATGTTTGAACCTTTAAATAGGCCAGGACCAGTAGCTGTATCAGGAATAATCATTTTAGTTAAGTTACTGCTTAGCAAAGGTATTAATGTTGAAGTTATAAAGGTTGAGGTGGAGACAAACTAGTTAATGCAGAGCTTTCATAGCATTATTTCCATAGTGCTGCTAGCATACATTGCTTAGGGTTGAAGGAGCAACTGATCTCTGTTCGGAGGAGTTCACTGTCTAAAGGCATGGATAGCATAACATGGCCTCTGCCATGATGGGATTACTAGATACTACTGTGATAATCATAGTGCAGATCATATAGCTGAAAGAAGTAGTACAGCTAAGGACTGCCTGGGGGAGAGCCTGGCACTTAGCTTCCTAACTGTAAGGATATGATGAAATGGCTAGATTTGGCTGGAGAAATACTGTGGCTGTCTTTCCTATTAGGTTGGAATGGGTTGCACAATCCCAGCTGCTAGTCAGCTGCTGGCTTCATGGTAAACACTTATTTTCCTGTTACGTGGCCCAAGACTCACAAGTTGTCAGCTAAGACATTTTACTTTCTTGATGAGATTTGATTAGTACCATTACACAAATCTAAATTTAAAATGACTAAAAGTCTTTAAGCCTCTTTTTTCTGGCTTTGGGGAAAAAAAAAGGATTTTGCTATCATTATACCTTCATTTGAAATTCATTAAACACTTAAAATGGTAGCAAGATTGCCAGTTCAAAGTAGGAAGCACATTCCTTCCTAGCTTGGCGTAGATTTTTTTTTGTTTTGTTTTGTTTTTTTAATGTATACATTACCAAAGTGACAGTAATTCAGTCACTACAGAAGATACCATGTGGCATCTTACTAATACAGAACATGGGGTCTCCACGCGATCTTGGTCTACAAAAGGCCGAGAAGCTACGTGGTATCAGAGACCCCGGCACACTAACATCTTACCAGCAGAGTTTGCGGATGTATTCAGCGTGCTGTCCAAAAACATTGCCAACCCCTGACCTAACATTATTCACAACTACTTGGAGAACTCATTAAGTGCACACAGAAGTGTCACACTACACTACCTGATTATGTATACGGTGAAGATGTACAGTTTTGTCGCAATAATTCGAAATGCATCAAATCCTAAAAGAAGACTAAACTTGTGAATTTACAGCTGTTTTGCAGATAATATAAATTGAACTTAAGAGATGGGAGCTGTTTGGGTAATGTATCCTATTCCTAAATGTGAGTTACACTGGTTCTTCCACTGTCACAGATTCACAGAAGTTTACTGCTGGAAGGGACCTCATGAGATTGTTGGGTCCAGCCCCCCTGCTCTTGGCAGGAAAGACAACTGGGGTCAAATAACCACAGCAAGGTGTGCATCCACTCT